ACTTCTTGCACAACATCATCGTCATCATCATCCACCTGCAAAGCCGTCGCTCTGACAGTAGCTTCAGAGTCTGGCCCGTGAGAGGCCATCCTGCCTTTCCCTTGCCCGGTCCCCGAAAAGCTATGAGGGGATAGACCCTCTTTGCCGAAGGGCAGGAAGGGAGAAGCCCCCAGACAGGGTAGGACTGTGGGAGTACACCCACTCGATCCCTGTGTGTGGTATGTTTTGGTAAAGCCCCCGGGACACACAAAGTTTTGGTCTGTGTTTTGGCTTTAGCTTTGGTCTCTTGGGCTCAGGAGCCTTGAGCCGACACGGCTTGAGCCAAAATGGCTTGAGCCGTAGCCATATACTTGCATGCAGTGTGAATGCATGCATGCATGTATGTATGTAGGTCAATGTATGCATGTGTGCATGCACGTATGCATGCAAAGCTACTCGTGTATGTATATGTATGTATGTGTATGTGTACGTGTATGTATGTGTATGTGTACGTGTACGTACATGTACATGTCTTTGTTGTGTATGTCTATGTATATGTATATGTAGATGTATGTACGCATGTAGGTATATGCATGCATCATGTATGCAGCATTATAGTGGGCCGTGCACGACGCGCATGGGCATGGGTGCCAACGCCGGGACGGAGCATTGATGCATGCAGGATGCATGCTACTCTTCGGTTGGCCCCGACAGGATGACATCTCTGGGTGCGCCTATCTTCGACTCGAGTAGATACCAAAATAGCCGCTTGTTACAGAGGCAATGCAGTGCGAGAGACCTCCTCCCTGCGACGGAAGACCAAAAAGAAGATGCATGTATGCATGTCTGCCCCCTATCTCTCTCCAACGTATACTTGTAACGTACGTGCGTTATACGGAGCAGAATGCATGAATGCATGTACAACTATACAATAACAAACTACACTGTACCGTCTGGTGACATGCCATACTGTAATATATTCGGTCAAAGTGTAGTATTACATCACATTATCCCATATTCTGCTGTAGCATTGTATAGCATAGCATAACACAGCATAGCAACGCACGGCACAGCCCCAGACAAACTCAAAAGGCAGGTGTATATCTGCGTGTGACTGTGCATGTGCATGTGTATGCGTATGCGTATGTGTAGATTCCATATATATATATATATGCATATATAGATAAGGACTCAGAAGACGCTCACCAGCGAGCCGTGACGAGTATGGTCGCCATGGTGATCCCTGATGGTGTTAAGGCCCAGAATCCATGAAAGGAGGGCAGACCTCCCGACCAGCTGCACCTAGTTTCCGAACTGTCCTTCGAGATGCTGAGGGTATATGTCTTTCAGGCTGTGCAGGAACGATGGGGAACTGGAGCAATTTTGCTGTGGCGTCTTCGTGAAGCCATTGAGTGGCGACTGGGTGTAAACCTGGTTAAAAGAAAACCTTAAATACGGCAGCGGGCTGAACAGGTGGCTGATGTGATGAGTCAGCTGCCAAGTGCTTTGGATCACTCTGGGCGGCTAGGGAACACGACGAGCACCTACAAGACCCTCGCGCTGCATGTGGACGCATGCGATGCCCGTCTTGTGATCTGCCAAGCTTTTCGGCCGTTGTGCCATTAAGTGGGAACATGCGCCGCAAGCAGATGCAGCTCAATTCTGGAGGCCTGGATGCCGGAAGGGGGAGTGTAGGAGCCAGTCCCCATTGCAGTGTTTGCGCCGGGGCACCAACAATGGAGCTTCGGTGATCAAGACCATCTTCAAGCCTGTGCTCTCCACGCGATCGAAGCTTCTCGGCAATTACTGCTGTGCCTTTGGCAGAGTGGTGATATCATCATGAACGATACGGTTCGGATCAGCCATGTACCCTGACGGATGTACGAAAGCAATGACAAGAGGGCTCACTTCTGCGTGGTTAGCCAGGGGAAGGCGCTCTGCAAAACCTTCATGCCGGATGATCTCAGTGTTGTGTTTGATCGCGGCAAGTTCACCCTGTCTGCATGCGGACATGCGGCGCATTCAGCCTCCTTGGTGAATGGCTACATTGCGGGAGGCACTTAAGCGTCTGTCCTCTGTGCGACCGTCCAACAGTTTTGGCACTCACTCAGCGTGAGGGCAGACTTCGCTGCTGGACGGCAGTACACAGTGGAAGGTTTTTCGGTCGTGGTGCCGCCTGGTACATCACTCTGCAGCTTCGTGCCTTAACCCCGCTGCTCCGCTGATTTCTGTTCTGGGTCCGGCAAAAAGTAGGCTCGAGTACATACAGCGGCAAACCCTTCTTATTAGACTCAGCGTTGCATGCCAATGGGCTGCGTCCAACCCGTGGCTCTATGCCCGAAAAGAGCGAAATGAGCGAAAAACATATGTGTATATATATATATATATATATGCACACACACACACGTGTTCCGATCACTAAGCCACATTATGTCATGGTTATAGTCTGGCACAACCCTTGGTAGAAACCGGCCACATGTAAACAATATGCGTGATGATCCAGCAAAATAATGCTAAGCTCATGATTCGCATATCCAGGTCTGTTTTTTCTGAGAGCAATAGAAGATATATGTCTAACATCCGGCCTTCTTGAGCTGTTGCGTGGGGCTGTGGCTGCTCATCTCTTCCGGGTCTGCCGTTGCCGTCGTCGTCGTCGGAGCTGATCAGCTCATGCAGGGTGGCGGGCATCCTCGGCACAAGTGTCGGCAGCATTCTCTGGGCAAGATCAAACCGTCTTGGACGCCATAGCCACCAAGAAAAACAGTTTCCCCGCGCCCATGCATGAACCAAGCTTCGGAAGCTCTGGGTCCTCATGCTCCTCAATGAGGACCATCTGGCCTAGGCCCTTCAAGGACAAGCTAGGGGCATGGAGTCCATCACTAGACCCACTAGGTCACTAGGGATCGGTCTTCGACCCCAGAGCCGAGAAACTTGTCGGCGACGGGCTTTCATTACGGTGCGATCATGTCCCCGGTGCCCAATCCCACACTTAGCTCCGAGGCCGCGATGTCCAATTCTTCGAAGGAGATCATGCCACTCCCATCCGTGTCAGCCTGGCGCGTTTCGGCCGTTTCGACTCTTTGCTGCACCAGAACTTCGATCTCTTCGAGATCGCCTGCGAACAAGTTCACGGCCCATGGGAAGACACGGACCTGAATGCCGTCCTTCAGAAGAACCCTTGGTCTAGAAGTGCAGTCGGCCCAGGTCAGGGCGGTTTGGCTCGGACTTTGGATTTGGACTCTCCAAATTCGGACCACCCAAGCGAGCCTTCTACAGTTCGACCATCTAAAACAAATTACGCGGTCCGATCTCGACTCTCACAACTGGGACAAGCTGGGCCCAGGCGAGGTGTCTGACGAAGATGCTAAACTAACTGAACAACCGATTTCGACTCTCACACTCGCACAAGGACAACCGATTTAAGGGCTCGGGCCTTGCGGCTTCCGCGGGCTCTCTCAAGCAAGAATGCCATCACCACGACTATACACATAGTACTTGGCGACAGTCCAAAATAATGATAAACAGAAAGCCTGGCCTCCATAAAGAATCGTGCCCAGCTTGGTGGCCCATCCGACTGTCGCTTCTGAGCATGGGCCTCAGTGTGTTCAACACCACCGTCACTCTCATAAGTCCCCATCAACACCTGGATCGCCATTACAACTTAAGCATACATTGGGTGCATGTCTATGTAGATGTATGTACTTACACAGGTGCGCCGGTAAAAAGGCACGCAGATAGGCAGGTACGCGCAAAAGCACGTATGCACGCATGGCTGGCTGGCTGACTACCTCGACGAATGGATTATGTGTTTGTATGTGCACGTGGGGCTTAGATTAGATTCAGAGCTCTTATAGCTGGAACTGCTGCTTGTTGGACCCGATGAAGCGGATTCTGGTGGAACCCATGAAAGATTAGAGACTGCGCGGAGGGAGCCTTAAACTGGACGAAGGGGGCGGGAACAGCCGCTTGGCAGAAAGGCGCTTAAAGACGCGGGGAGGCTTGGTTCGAATAAAGGGGCAGGGGTTTGTCACTTCCAGTACCTTTGTGCCCTACAGTCGCTTGAAAATTACAGGAACCTTCCAATTTGTTACTATACATTTGGTTCGCACATCTTGGGAACATAGGATCTAGATACTCGAGGAAATCAAAAAAGCATGATTTTCTTCTGTCATGCAACCCTAAGTGTGTCCATCTTGTCTCACCTGTCATCTCGGAAGGTTCTCTCATTCTGTACATTGCTAACAAGGCAGAAACTTCTGCCTCTGCAGTTCTATTTGATGTCTTGGGGTAGGACATCGAACACCATGTGTGCATCGAAACACTAGACCAACAAACACCCACTTATCAACCCGTTGATCCACTAATCCATCAACCCGTTGACTGTTGACCCATCAACCCACTGACACATTGCCCCGTTAAGCCGATGCCTTTGCCCAAGTGAGAATGGCCCCATTAGCACACGAACCCATTGCGTTTGCTACGGATAGCCTACACAACCCATCAACCCGTTAGCCCATCATCGGCGTCTTAGCCCCAAGACCCACTGCATCTTCCCCATTCAGGATGTCCTGCATGATTAAACTCACATGGCCGAAAAGACCCGGGGTTCTCCCGGGTTGGTGGGTATAGTACTGGATGAGTGGCTCACGGACAGCCTGAGTAAACTCAAGTCAGTCCACTTGGCCAGAAGGCATGGCTTAATGCTTAATGGCCAACGGATGACTGGAATGACAGGTTGATGCGATAATGGATTCACACTTGAGCTGAACTGCCCAACTCCATCGCCGGAAAGATGGAGGAGATATTGATCTAAATCCATGTGTAAATGCGCGTACATACACACATACCTGTGCATGTACGGGTGCATGTGAGGACATGCAGAAGTAAGTAGAAACATGCATAAACTCATTCAATCAAACAAGACCCATACAAAAATGATCATAAATATGTGCATACATACCGTAGGTACTTGCTTCCTTCTGTCCTTCCTTCCGTCCTTCCTTCCTTACTTACTTACTTGCTTACTGGCTGACTTACTATGTATGAACAGATGCGTGTATGAGAAGGTGCATGAATACATACGTATACAAATACAGATACAGATGCAAATACACATACATTGATCTACATCTGCAAGACAAAAGACGTGTACTATACGTATACTGACACAGACATCGAGACAAAGACAGAGCGTAGACACCGGGTGATTCTGATTGATATTCTTATTCGGCTTCTGGTCAGCAACATTACGATGACTTAGACACGGACATATACAGATGCATGGACATAGACATAGACACATACATGTACACCTATGCATCTGCATATACATATGCAATATACATATGCAAATAAATTCGATTGAGTTGTTGTGATATGCAGCCTTGGCGCGACCAAGGCTTTGTTCAGCTTTCGTGCCACTGCTTGCAAGGCGGGGTCCTGTCGACGGACATGCATGAAGACTGTGCTACGTGTCAATACTAATACAAGTCAGTCCCTCGAACCAGAAAGCTGTGTCACAGCCCGTTGTCAAACTCGGCTTGTTGACCCTCCAAGCTCCTGGGGCAGATGCTGTGGCTTCTTGCGCTGGCCATCCGAGAAGGAAGCGTTGCTGCTTGACCTGAAAGCACTTGCTGCCATTGTGGCAGGCGTCGAGGTGCAGCTATAGAGTTCTTTCTGCAACATGCTCTGGCGTGAGGATCTGACTGTTGGGAAGGCTGTTGCTGGAGCCGTCTTTTCGACGGCTGAACCACAGGAGATGCCTCTGCCAGGCTGCAGGAAGACATGCTACGGAAGCACTTAAAGCGCTTGAAGCATCCTCGCCTGGGATGACTTGGAGACCGTGGACTGTGTGGGTGTGTCTTGTGTGTTTGAATGTGTCGGACGAGCTTCACTCTTTGGCGAAGCAGAGCCTGGCTGTGCCAGCCGAAGTTCAAAGACCCTTGCCAAATGCCCACAAGTGAATTGTCTGGGTCCACTTGGGTGCACGCTCATCGGTGGCAAAGCGTTCTTCCCATTGCCTTTTCGTGGCGCTCGGGCAGAGTACGCAGACGAGGCCTGAGCTGGTGCCCCCGAGCCAACCCTGTCCAGCAGGACCGAGTAGCTAACGAACCATCAACGTAGGCTGATGTGGCTGAGTGCCACGCAGGGCGCTGATTGTCAGTGGCCTAGGAGCAACTGCAAAACTTGCTGCGATACTGGTCGTCGCCACAGACGTCCAAGGCCGTCACCATGCGCCAGCGCACCTGTCAACTGTCAACATGCCATGTTCCTGAAACTCTCGCCGCAGGTACTTTGCAGCGCTTCCAACGCCCAGGGGAGCGGCATTCGCATTGCCTGCGCTCATCGGAGGTGGCACCGAGGGATAGAGCAAAAAAACACAGAAGAAGATAGAGAGAGAGAGACACACACACACACACCGGGACACAGACAGATGGACAGACAAGAGACAAAGACCCGGGGAGTGACAAAGAAGTCGCGGCGGTGGTGGCGGTGCTGCCGGTGGTGGTTGTGGCGGTGCTGGTGGCGGTGCTGCTGGCGGCGGCGGCGGCGGTGGTGGCGGCGGCGGTGGTGGTGGTGGCCCTGCTCTTCCTAGAGGTTCTTGTAATAGTAACAGTAGTCGGGGTACATATAGCGCAAGTAAGGATAAAAGTGCAAAAGCGGCAAAAAAATCGAATGTTCATGGCAAGACTCATCTCAATACTGGTATTCGTACCATCAGATACAAGTCGTCGTAGTCGTCGTACTAGTCGTAGAAGTAAAAGTAGCACTAGCGGTTATCGTAGTCGTATTAGTAGCAGCAACTTGTTGCTGTTGATGTATGGATTGTTCTTACTTTTCGGCAAAAAACAGCAGCGAAATTTGGGCTCTGGCACGGCTGACTTGTACAGTACAAGCTTCGCAGGTCTGACGTCTGGCTAGGAATCGAAACGTATCATTTTAGGGCAGTTGTCACGACCATGTCATGAAATCTTTTGTTCCGCGCTGCTCCTACCCAAGCAACACGGCAAACATCAGACGGCAGCATCAGATCCTCACAATTACAATCGGCACAACATCGTCAAGTGACTGTGAACAGCACCGCATGGCTGCAACTTCAATGCTGTGAGCTTCCACTCTTCCCAGATCATCAATTCATTTATTTGGCATGCCTTGACCTCATAGACTGCGAACCCTGCAACGCTCGGCCCGAAATTGACAAGGTACAAACATAACAAAGTGGTGAAACGCTACGGTACACTACGGTCAGGCCTGGCTCACACAAGGTTCAGCACGCCTTCCGCCTACTTTGTACAAACCAGGGGTCTTAGCGATGTTGAGGAGAAACGTAGGTCCGTCGCCCATCCAATCCCATGCGTCAGGTGAAAGTTCAAAACCAAAGGCTCTCGGCAGCCGTTCCCGTGCCAACGTGCCAACGAACATCGGACTGCCCCGAACAGCCGTGCACACCGAAGTCCGCAACTGTAATTCCTTTCACAAAGTCCGTCGCCGTGGCGCGCCTACCTGTCCGAACAAGGAGCAGCCAGTCGAGTCACAGCACGTCGGCCCCCGATGGGTGCATGCGAACGCAATCACGGTTTCCCCGACGCCTGGGCCCCGTGGCGAGATCTCTCGCAGTCACGCGAATGCGGACCAACTGGTTCGCCAACGATGCTGTCCAAGCCGAAGGAACACACAGAAGCGAGCTCCGCACAGATAACTGACCCCGCTCCTTCCCCACTCCGAGTGGGAAGCATGTCGTCGCGGAAATGCAAGCAAGTCAGCAAGTCAGCACAGGGCCCTCCATGCGGTGGTCGAACCTCAAATCCAAAGTCTTTGGGAAAAGCGCCGCAGAATGCATGCCTGTCCGTCCAGACAGTGACCACACTGCCATAAGCCTGGCTAACACGCGAGCCACAAAGAGTGCCAAAGCGTTAATCGTGCTTTGCTGGACACGGCAAGATGCCGCGACGACGCACATAATGGCGCATGGTTTGTGCAACCACAGCAACACAGCACAGCACACACTCGCTCATCCCCACTCCCAGGTATTGTCAAGCGGGCCACCCGGGACTTCAAACGATGCAAAAGCCCAAGAGCTCCGGGTCGGAGGAACGCGGTCGGAAGTCCAAAGTCCACAGTAGTGTGCAGCGTATTGCCTGCCTTGGCGTGCTTGCCCTGTCCAGATCAATTTAAAAAAATCAAAAGCAAACGTGAAAGTTCCCTTGGAACAAAAATCGAACTAAAATCAAATGTAGATCTTTGTTTAAAACCAAGATCAACAAAAGTCGAAAGAAACTCAAGCTTCAAATGATTTTTCAAAAACAAAGTTTAAACAAAAGCGAACTCTGGATGGCAATTTTAACCAAGAACGAAAAAACATCAAGTTCCGGACCGTCATGCTAAACAGTCAAACAAAAAACTCAGGGATAAAGCCGTCTGGAAAACAAAAATTGAACACAAACTCAAAGGCCAGGGTGTTTCTTTTTTTGTTCCGCGGCCTTTTTGCTCCTGGCCGCTGCCACAGGTTCTACAAGATTTTTTGCTCTGGCCGCTTGGCCAGTGGTGTTTTTTTTTGCTGTGTGGCCGCGCTGGCCGGCTGCGGGGCGGCCGCGGAGCAAAAAAAAAAAACACCTTTTCCCCTGCCCACAGTGTTTTTTTTGCTGCTGGCCGGCTGCAGGGAAAACAATCCAAGAAACAACAAGTTGCTCTCCGACGGAGACGGCACCTGGCCCGCGTGCGCTCGCCTTGATGCACCAAGCGACATGTTCACGACACGAAATTTTGGGAAGCATACATAAACCCGAGCTAGTGAGCTCCCGACAACACCACATACCGAATCTGGGCGGGTGGGGTGGTCGTCTGGAGCTGTTTCTTCAGCTGTCGGTGCCTGAGCGGTTGATGCCAATTTCGCGTAAACGAGGCCTACAGTGCAGAAAGCATGCCAAGCCAAGCACCATGGTCATGCTTGACTTCGCACCTTGGCCACAATCCGGTCGACGCTTATCTAGACCAGTGGGCCATCGTCATCTTCTTGGAATCATGCGCTGCTTCGGTCCTGCACTGTGATATGGGGGCCTAGGAGCAGATGTGCAGCTTCATAAATCTCGCCAACTTGCTGCGAGAGTGAGACTGTCTTTGCTCCAAGCGTTGGGGTGGATGTAGCAGTGCTTGGAGTGGATGCAGGCACGATGCGCGAGACCTCTTCCTGACATGTTCGACTGCTTTCAGCTGTTCCGTCTCTGCTCATGCAGATGTCTCGGTCGCAGCTGAAGCTTGCCGGCTCCACATCCTCTTCGTCGACCTAATTTGGAACGATGTCGACTTTGAGATCTGCTGTAATACATCCTGCAGCTACGTCTCATCCCCATGTTGAGTCCCTGACAGCCACAGATAGCTTCGCTAATAGGTCGTCGTCTGCCCTGAGCACGTCAGGCAAACTTGTCCCAGTGACACGATGCCGGCGCAGGAACGCGAACAAATCGATGGCTGCACTACCTTGGCTACGAAAAGCTGAGCGCGGCGCAGCATGTCCTTTGTCCGACTGCCATGGCCCTGTGGTGTCCACTGCGTGACGCGCTCCTGCACTGACTCCAAACCAAAACTGGCTATGCGGAGGAAACCCCATTCAAGGCCTCCATACTCTCAGCGTAGACCGAGGGAAAGAGAGGCATGCATCACGGTTTCGCCTGGTCGGAACTTGTCTGCCCGCTCGCTTTCTCAGCACTGACTGCTTTGAGTACTGCTGAGGGCTGAGCCGGACAAGGCATCGCAGCAAGCACTGTCCTACATTGAAGAGAACGGCCCACTGGCGTTGAAGCAACATTCGTCTTGGCAAGTAGCAGGGATATCCCGAGAATGCACAAGCCAATTCAAGGTGCGCTTTTTTCAAGAGCGAACCGCCAGTAGGCACGAACCTCCGGCAGGCGCCACTCGGGCAGCACCCTGTCTTACGGGATTTATCCCGCGGCCCTGCAACAAGTCAAGAGTCAAAGCTTAAGAAGCCACACATCACATATCATCCTTCGGTCAATTTTTGTGATCTTGGTGAAACGCGCATGCAGTATGCTGCGGAGCAGTCGTCACTTGGTGATGCTGCATGGTACCTTAAAACCCGAAAATGGACTGACGACGCCTGGTGGGAGCAGTGGCATCTCCGGCTTTGCCAACTAAGGTTGCCGTGTCTTGCCGCAGCTCGGCGATGTCTTCACTCAAGTGCTCCAGCAGCCTGAAGACTGCTTTTGTGGCCAAGAGTGTCGCCACGGTGTCTGTCTTCCGCAGATCTCCACGAACTTTGAGGAAGCCCTGCACCAACTCCGCCACGTGCAGCGTGCCGCTGCCATCCGCATCCAGCGCCTCGAAGAGGTTTGCTCGATCGGGTGGCAGGTCCAAGTCATCCATCAAACGCTGCACCTGTCGATCCTGCGCATCCGAATTATCCACAATCAAATTACGTTCCCTAGAGCAGAAACACGATGTCCCCATACCACAGGCGGTCCTGAACAACTGTCAGAAAGAGCTCCTTGCTGATCTCAATGTGATCATCGTCCTCCTCACCCAATCCCGGGCTGGCGGCCAGTCTGGCCGAACTCACATGAGGCGACAGATCCTCATGGCACAAGGCTCCATCACTAGCACAAGCGCTCACAACTGTCAAACAGTCTTCTGAGCTCCGGACTTCACTATACTCGACTGGGGACATCACCTTCTCTTGGCGATAAGCTTTGGTGAATTTCCTTGGTGATATCTGGATAGGTCTTGCGATCAGCTGCTTTACACGGAGGATGGGCATCCTGGAGCCTGGAACCTACTTTCGCTCTGGGCCGGGCAAGGCCTGGACCCTTTGGCGCCAACTCCGGCAGCGTGTGCTGCCACTGCAGGCCAGTGGTCTGGCTTTGCATGACCAGATTTCAACAACGGGGCTCCACCAAGGACTTCTCAACAAGGGCTCTAGATCAAGACCTGCGAGCGCTCTCAAATCCCGAGATGTGAAGCAGCTCCATCTCGAACTGCGAGCTCTTTTCAGGTCAATGCGGGAGCTTGTTGCTGGTTTATTCGAACCCTGCAAAGGTGTTGCCGGTGGACACTCTGCTGCTCACAATGTTCTGCAAATTGAATGCTAACCGAAAGATACCGAAAGCCAGCGAAGATGACTGCCTGCCGGTGTCGGCAACAAGCCACAGTGACCCAAAACACTGATTTCTAGAGGATCGACTGCCAGGTGAGCCACGATAGCTCCAGAGAATGGACACTACGCACGCATTACCATCAGGAAGGGCCTATTGAGCAAAGCGTCTTCACCAGCTCCCTGGTAAGCCTGGCCACCCTGATGGACTCCCGCTCATGCTGCTCTGCGTTCAGCTCATTCTCTCGGGCCGCCTGTCAGCTGCAGGAGGGCTTGTGGTTGACATTGGGTTGAGCTTTGGGTGTCTTGACAGGTAGACTACAAACATAACTGCTGAAGCACCAGGCCGGTTGTGACCATGAAGGTGTTGTTGTGTATCCAGATTAATATCCCGAGCGTACCACCGAAGCTTGCCAAACTTCCATGGTCCATAGATTCAATAGACCCAACCCGAACTTGCCAGCTTCACTCGTGTGTGGGACGTCTAATGCAAGGCATGCTTTGTTTATGAAGGAGTTCACCATATGCAGTGCTGCAACGTCGGTTAAGGTCTTTCGACTCACACACTCGCGCAAGGCTGGCTTGGCCTTAGAGGTCTGAGCCTAAGGTTTTTAAGTCTTCAGCAGCATGACGAACAGCATCATGATGGCATTCCAGGCACAGCCTTCATGGTAATGTCCACATAAACAGCCAGAATCACGTTGAAAATACCTCGGAAGTAAAAATGCAGCGTCCTCAGGACATGAATGCAAGCTGTTCATTCCTTGTTCAAGAAAACGAGTGATTTCCTGTTATCCTGTCTTCCCTCTCAAGCCGAGAAGCCCAGGGTGATGAGCATGTAGCATGCAATGTAGCTCCCGGTGAAAATCAAGCCGAATCGAGCTGCAAGGATGGGAGCCAGCGGTTCTCCTTGCAACACACTTCACAAACACTGTAATGCTCAATCAATTGTCAGTTTCAGGGTTGGGAAGGCTGGAAGTGTTTGAGCATTGGAGTGTCCAGGACACGGGACACTGCAGCTGACTGTGATGCACAGAAAGCTCCAACACTTTCAATCCTAAACCTCACGAACCTCTGCAGGGCTGAAAATTCCAAAAAACTCAGAAGTCTTAGTCTTAGAAATGCGTGTCGCCCCCCGCCCAGCCATAGATGCCAGTGCCAGTTTAGTATCTTGTAATGGCCTCCCGAGTGAAACAGAAGCCATCAGTGCACTCCTCCTTCTGCAGTGCACTCGCCCGTGTAGCACCGGAAAGCTGTGAAGATCGAGTCCGGCACTGTTGCAAAGAGAGTTTGGATGCCGTCGTCCAGCGGGGGAGTCAAGTCGGCACGGCCTCAGAGTACGACAGCCGATAAACGCTTGCAAACCGAAGCCAAGTGGTTTGTTTCCGTTTCGTGTCTCGGTCTGTGCCATGCAGCAAACCGGTCTGATGACCAGGACCTGGGACCTGAGACTTCGAAGCCTCTATCTAGACTCTAGGCAGAAAACGCACGTCATGCGCTTTCCCAACAGCGCAAACCATGTCTGCCACTTGCGTAATGGAACGGGATACTTTCACAGCCCGCTGTCTTCTGCATCCCAGGTCTGTCACCCAAATCACGCACTACGTCCGTGAATGTGCTCTGTACATCCAGTTACATAGGCTGGGAGATCTGAGAAATGCCTGGAATCTGCTTGAGATGCGTGCCCGAGTTTCCAGCACGTAAAAATTGTGTTTGCAGCGGGAGGCCTTCATTCAGAACGCCGGGCCGACCGAGTGGGTGTGACTGAAGCGTGACCCTGATGGCATGCCTGCCCACGGCCTCTCGACCTGGAGCTACTTGTCCGGTAAGGCCCCCGCCAATGGCAATGGTCGCAAAGACTGCGATCACGTACAACACGCTGAAGAGCAAAGCAAAGGCAAGGCAAAGTGTCCGAAGCCCTCCAACCAATCCCTTGATCATCAGTTGGAGCTCCTGAAGCGAAGGACAGCAACGGCAATGCTACAGCAAATCGGAGCGCAATCTTCACGGTAGCACATCTTTACAGTACAGAAGGAGCCAAAAAAAACAATACCACGGCCTAGTCACCTAGCGGACCTAGCCACAGCCTATCCCGGATGCGCTGCAAAAGCTGGCCTTGATCATTTTGAGGCGGAAGACCCTAAATGTACGAGTCAATCTCACCAGACGACAAGCACGCAACAGCTGCATTGCTGCTGCTTCAGACTCTGCAATGACAGCCGTCAGCAGGATGTCGATCAAGCCAGCAAACACTAAAAACATGTCGAAATAGTTCCATGTGGACTCAGGCCCCGAGAGATAAGTTCGCAGCCCCACGAGTCGTATTCGGACCAAGATCTCCAAACAAAAGGCGAAAGTAAATGCCACTTCGATCCATTGCCATCCTGGCCAGTGTTCCCAATTCACATCAGTCTGCACCCCCAGAATGAAAGCATTCGAGACGATCAATAAGGCCACGAAAGGCTCAATGTACAGAACCGGGTCAACTGGCTGCGTTGGCGCTGCGAGGTCGTTAATCCTAACGAATGTCAACTCTGCAACCAAGCGGTTGGTATCCCCAGCCAAGAGAATCTCCTTTATCGCCCGGAAGAGTTCTGCCGAAGTGCCGAAGATGCGCTTTCCGTCGCCGTCCATGGCAAATGCCATGGCCAAGGCTTGAAACGGAACCAAATTATGCTGGGGTGTAGACATGCCCTCGGACATGTTAGTGCGTAGAAAGTCAGCCACAGACCCCACTTCTTGTGGCCACTCCCATATCGCGCGGGATCGCTCATCGATCATCACCTCCCTCGAAGAAGTAGAAAGGCTACCGTCCCTGCGCAAGCCAATCATTCTTGAAAAAGTGCCGGAGTGCTGCAACTTCGCAGCGTTTTTCTTGTCAATCGGCTCAAATCGCAGTCGCACAAAGGCCGCCAGCTTGTTCACGATGGCATTCACATCACTTTCGGAGTAGCGTGTGAGGCCAAGTGCCACGACGGCATCATGCAACTCTTGGCCTGAAATCAGCTTTTTGGTCGTGCCAAGGCGCATGCGCAAGGTCTGCTCGACGTGCTCCTTGATACTGCTCGAGGTATGGTCTGTCAGTGTAGCACACATTGGATTTCCAGTAGTCGGACCTTCTTCCTCACCAGACTCTAGGTACAGCTTCGAGTCCACGAACTCAGCAGTCTCCGCTGCTTTCGTCACTGATTCGGACTGGTCGCCGTCGACCGTTACAGTCTGCGGTGGTGGAAGTGGCCTGGAAATGAGAAGCTCCGGCATCATGGACTGGGGCGGGCCCTTGATACTTGGCACATCATCTTGCACCGTCGGATGCCGAGGCCTGACTGCTCCAGTGCTTTTGCCTTCATCCACCTTATGAACTGGATCGTGCTGGACGTACTCCAAGTGGACCTGCACACCACATGGTACACTGAGATCAAGAACAAAGTGGAAGCAACAGTTTGTTTGCAGATACCAGCGATCACAAACGCAAGCCTGCACAAGCTGCTCTCGGAAAGAAGCCCATGCTTCGTCCAGCGTGCGCTGGAATGCCGCAACATCATGGTGCATTTCTGAGAGGCGGGAGCTACGGAATGTACAGAAGGGCGCCGCACTGCTACTTCTTCCTGGGAGCCCGGCAGTATCCACATGCATCAAACCCACAAATGACTGCAGCAGGAAAGCCGGTTGCAGTTGCGGCAGTATTGGACAAGACAGCCCGGATCTCACTCAGAGCTAGCGATCTTGGATACTCGACGATAACCGACAATAAACGCCGCGAAGCATGAAACCGGAGTAGCTTTTTGTCTGCAATATGCGCCGAAACCTCAGGATGGAATGCTGATGCTCACGTCCATGAGGAACTGGCAAAGAAGGGAGAGAATCTCAGGACGGGTTCTGATCCTTCCGAGAGCTTGGCTTGCCGATGCTGCAGAAGAAGCCATTTTCTTCCAATGGAGGCAGGATCTGGAATGTGGCATTTGGCAGCCACGGGCCCGAGGAGCGACTCTCCATCCAGGCGCCCCCGGCCCAAGTTTTCAGGCGCAGCAATCCCGCACAACTGACTCCGTGCAGCCGGCTGAAGCGCCTGGCTTCTGCAGCTGGGAAGACTTCATGTGCTTAATGGAAGGGACGAAGGCATGTCGTCAGCCAAGGTACCGCTTGCCGGGCTACCTTTTTCTCGGACCAGCTCTGCGCTTGATAGTGGGTGCGCGCTGCTGTCGCCAGTGCACTTGAGGGAGGCCCTCGGCATCCTTGGCTTTTCCGAATCAGTCCAGGCCATCGCGGAATGCAGCAAATTTGCTGGAGAGGAACAGCGTCATTGCTTTCTAATCGTCTTGGGCTTTCCTTTCGAGGTGAACCCCACTCCGTCGCCTGTCGCATAGAGACGACTCCACCCTGGGCACTCTTCTCGAAGCTGGTCGCTGCGTCGGCAATGCATTCGAGCGCAAGCAATTTCACAACCCCATCGTCAGTTTTTAGGCTTCTCGGAACGCTCTTCCTGCAGGCGCTCGAAATCCTCGCACAAGGTTTTTCCATTTCCAAAACAGCTTCCACGGCTCCATGCCTCCAGCAACTCCGGCAACAAACGCTGGCTGTGAGAGCAACAAGAAAGCTTCGACTGCGAGCCTCGGGCAAAGAAACAAGCATCTCAGATCAGTTCAAGCGGTTCAATCCCTTCGCTGCATCATTCTGCATCGCCTCTTTTGACACGTTCATTCTGTCAAGTGCTCGAGGCCATACCAACTCAAGTCGTCGTACTTGTAGCCCTTGTTCCACCAATAGCAGAGCTGCTGGTCAGGTCCCAAAAGCCGGACATCGGGGAAGACCGGCAAGACATCTGAGGTCGATCCATCCGCCTTGGTCCCCTTATTTCCGCTTGGACGACTTCGACGGCCGGCTTCGAAGCGCCGCCCGGCTGCTGGGCCAAGCCGCGGCTTTGGCGGCCTTCGTCCAAGATCTTCACCACAAAAAAGCTGCTCTTTCGAGGCCCTGAAGGCTTTGGACCTGTATCGTGATCCCAAGCTTGGCTGACACTTAACTGCAGTCCAGAAGCAAGTCAAGATGAGCGCAAGACTTGGATCGCAGAGCTTGCAGCCCAACACAACGGCAGATTCCTGCCTTGCCTGGGCGTGTGTCTCTACTTTTTTTTTAGTTTGTGCTGTCGGTCCAAAGACGGATGCTACCAACAGCCTTCGTCCAATTGCCACTGTGCCTTTCGATTCACCCTCGCGAAAGTACCGAGTAGCGGCAAGGCGCTGCTCTTAGCAATTCGATATGTATATATGTTGCACCGATCAAGGGCGAGTTTTGACAGGGGAAAACAAAGATGTGCAGAGCGAGCCTCTGTAGACAAAAACTCCGTTCGAGTACACGGCTTCCTGGCTCTGCAACAAGCACCAGTCCTGCCTTTGAACCCAAAAACCTGGAAGACCAGGAGGCTGAGGCTATCAATCGGGTCGTCTTCAGTCCTCCTCATGTGTTGCCTGTTGTCCAACTCCTTCTTCGATACCGCACATCTGGGATGCGAATTCGTAGCTTTCTGTCACTGTGACTATCGAAGTCGTGCCAACAGAGCTGTGCCCCCTCTCGGGCAAGGCTCAGTTTTGTTTCAGGCGACTGAACGCCTCTCGTAGAAACTTCCGGGGGCCTCTTCTCACGCCTCAACCTTTTGTGCAAAGGCTGAGGTCCCCAATGTCTCCCGAGTTTTTGAACAAGGCCTAAGAGGTCGGGTCCGAAACTGGACCGAATCGGGCTTCGCTATGTGCACTTGCCACGTTCTGCTTTGATCTCTGTTCTCCGATGCGACCCAAAAAGCGTGGACATCCTCCACCAGCTTCAGAGGTTCAACCCGCAACATGTAACCAGGAGCCGACACCAAAAGTGCTTGGGCCCTGGGCTGTCTGAAACAGTCCTGTGTACTATAGACAAACACGCATGCCAAAAATGCCAGGAGACTGATGCTGGCACCTTCCAGGGTGAGGAACCGGATCCCGCAGCTCACAATCTTTTGGAGGGCATGGTCGTCGATCGGACAGGCCTGGCCTGATGCGGGTCTGACGAGCACATGCTCCCCGGCTTTGACAGGGGTTCAATATATTCAACAGTCAGGCAATGAGCTCAAAATGAAATGTGCGGCTCAGCTGCTTGCTGTAAGCTGCAGCTCATCCATGTCCCCATGGTGTGAATCCTTTCCTGCGCAGCCAGCACGCTAGCTGACCAAAACTGGCTCAGCCTTTGCTCCGGCAAAGGCACATGCCCCTCGCAGTTGTCATGCAATATGCAACATAGAACAATCATCGGGTCCAAGGGCTCGTACGAGATTCCAGACTCCTCTGCAATAGAATCATGGACTCATAGAGTGCTTCAGGGTCCAGCCAAGTGCACAATTCGAAGTCTCGGACTAGGAAATCCTTGCAAAGTAGCTCCATGGGCGCCCTCAAGCGACAGGGATCGGAGGTTGGACCTCGCTGCCGGCTGCAAACGCCCCTGCCAAAAGGACTGCAACAGCACATCTCCCACCTGAGCGCGCAGTGCGGACTTCTTGCCAGAATACGAAAACCGAAAGTGGCAACCGCGCGTTGCATAGCATGCATGAAGTGGATCCCAAGTGGCATGGACGTTCGCCAAGGCCAGGGCCTCCAGCACGGGCAAGGCCCCCAATGCCATGGCCGCCTCTGCTTCCAGCGATCGGCAGCCGACCATAGCTGCTGGGCAGCCTGCCTGAAAAAAAAACATGTGTCAGTGTATCAGGGATGGCAAGAGTCTTGGACGATATCGTTCTTGCATCCACCCTCCACCTCGAACAAGATGCCGAGGCGCCGCACCGCCTGCACACGTGCTTTGACGTGGCAGCAGGGCAGCTCCACGGGCAATGAAAAACAAAATGTGGCATGGCCTGCCAGCGACCCACCTCCAAGCCGGATAGCAAGGCAAACTGCGGTGCATCGGACGCCAAGAAGCAGTGCAGCGGTTTCGTTGCGATGGCATCCACAACGTCACAACCAGAGGCTTTCAGCAAGCTGTCAAGACGAAGGTCCTCACCGTTCGAGCCATGTTGCTGCATGCTTCCACAGGCTGGCGGGAGTCCTCCAGCTGTGTAGCTGAGATGACCTTCTTCAAGCTCGCCCCGGAAACATGGGCGGAGCAACTGAGCCACAGCGAACGAAGTTGCGGGCAGCCGCCCAGAAGCTCCAGAGCCGCATCCGTCACCTGGTCTCGAGAGAGATTCCTCACAAACTACGCAGGACCGCTGCACCACTGAGCTGGGACTGAGTGGCAGCATCTCCATGAAGAACCACGCGGCTTAGAGCAGGCCGGCTGCTCCCGCTGCCCAACAAGATCTGCAATGCCCTGGGTGTCAGCCGAGGTTCGCATGCTCGCGCCACCTGACAGGCATGGCATGGCCCAGTCGCACCTGTATCTGCGGATCTGCTGCTCAAGCCGGTCGCCTTGCTGTGAAAGTGCAAGACTCGCAACGTCTCACAGACCTGGGCGCTATCTTGAAAAGCTGTTGAATCTGCTTGCTGTCTTGCCGTTTGTCGGTGTTGAAGCTATTCACATTCATGTTTTAGCCGTTCGTGTTGTGCTTCAAAGATTCACTGGAAATCGCGACAGCTCCAGCATCCGTGTGGTGGCAGGCCGTGTCGCCTTGGCAGAACACGCACTAGGACTAGGAACCGGAAGGAGTCAAAACCCTGATTCAGCCAGGGTACTGATCTTCAGAAAGTGCAGCCCTTCACATCAGCTGCAATGTGCGATCAAGACTGTGGATCAAGAAAAGGAAAAGGCCGCGCCTCCGCCGACACCGTCAGCTGCCCGCCTGGCAAGCCTTCAGAACCCGTGAAGGCTGAGGCCTCGCCTATGGAGGGCCTTTCGCGGATGAGCCAGGGCCCCGGCCAGCGCAAGGCACCATCGGTGGACGGTAAGGCTGTTAGCGGCCCGGCTGTGCTGCAGCAGCAAAGAGGTCGCCCTGACTGCGCGGCCAGCAGAGCCTCGAAAATCTTCGAGACAAGAACTCGTCTGCTCGGTTCCATGACGGCCAAGCAGCAGTGCAAACCGCGGATGCCGGCACTAAGTCGCGCCAACTCAGGAAACTCAGCGCCAGATCCAAGGGCACTCCATACTTCCTAAGACTGCACAGATCAGTCCATCTTGACTCGCTGTCTGCTGTCTGACAGCACGGATCGTCAGAATGTCAAAGCTATGTCCCCAAGGCCGCCGAAGGCGCCAAGGCGTGAGGCCCAAGAGCTTCCTCGTGCAGCCAAGTCTCTGTTCAATCAGTGATGGCATGTGTCTCCATGGCGTCCGGAACTTATGCTGACTCTGACGGCACGGCTCGCACTACAAATATACTAGTACTTCTGGGAATGTGTTGCGTATGCTCCCCTGCCCTTGCCTGTAAAATCAATCTCTAAAATCAATCTCATCTCCAACCACCCATACGATGCGGGCTTCAGTCTTCAGCGAATGTCAACAACTCAGCCAAGCCCAAACATGCTTCCGTTTGATCCGAGGGCTGATGCGTGTCGGACTGCAACCGCCTTCACCGCAACTCCCGGCGTGCATGCACATGCCAAAAAAGTCCGCTTTTACCACATTACACGGTGATTCAAAGTCGAACACTTCATTCATCGGCGGTTCAGCAGCTTCTCCTTGCAAGTGAGGGTGAAGCGGCCCTTGATCAGCTTCTTTACGCTGACGGCATCCCGTCCTGCGAGGCTTCCAGGTCGTGAAGCACTCGAGCCACCTCCTCAAGCATCAGCTCGTCCTCGAGTGGGGAGAGCCGTTGACTTTGCTTGCAGATGCCGGGCCCTGGCCTCGCTGTCGCGGATTGCTTCCTGACAGGAACTGGGAACTTCTCGGCTTGAGGCACTGGCACCAAAAGCGCCTGCTCCAGGTCTGGCCGCCGGCCAATGTTTGCCAACATCTCCTTTTTTGGACTCTTACAACTGCTGACCTTAAAGGGGTTCCGGAAGCCCGGCCTCAGCAGCTGCGGCTGCTGCATCAGTCACGACTGTGGGTGGTTCGTCGGCCATGGTGAGTCGGGTCTCTTTTTGAGGTTCAGGCCCCGCTGTTGTTGTGCCACTGTTGGCGTGTGCACTGGCTGCATGAACCTGACCTGTCCTGGGGACTGATTCCGCCGTGGGGTGCGTGCGCAGCAGGGGCTTCTGTTCCACTGCCTCGGCCACCGTATGCCTCCGAAGCCCATGAGCAGCCTCAGAAGTGGGAGGCGGTGCCGGAAGGCCAAGATCCTTTGCCACATCAGCACGTACTTCTTGTGATGCCGGATCCACCACGGTCTCCCCCCACCCCAGCCAGCTATCTAACCAACCATGCACTGCAGCTGCGTCTGGCGTCTGTGCCTGAGGCTTTTCCTCGGGCGCGGTCACTGGAGTTGAGGCAGCACTTTCTTCTGGCTTCACTCGTGAGGCTGTAACCCATTTCTCAGCAGCTCCGATTTCGCTGGCCGTCTCCGGCTCTTTCTGCGGTCGCTTGAGGTCCCCTTCTGCTTCGCCGGTCAGCGCATTCAGCCGAAATTGCTGTCCAGACGGATCCGTGAACTCCTTCCAACCCAGCTCACTGTCCAAATCAGACCGCGTAGGAGTCCTCACAACGTCTTAATTTGCCCGCAATGGGGTCATTGCATTCATTGCATCAACTCGACAGCAACACAAAAACATCGAGCTTGTCCTGCTTTTCAATGCAGCTGAGACAGGTCCGCAGGGCAGCAGCAACAGCGCGACTGCCCATTGCGTCCACTTCATTTGGCCTCGGCTCAGGACCGGCACAGCCAAGGGATGACACCAAAGTGCTCAACGCAGCCTCTTGATCGTTCGCTTCTGCTCTGTTTGCATCCGGTGTCCGTGAGTGTTCAACAGCGGCCGGCCGTTGCCACACAGATCAAACAATCCTTGCAAGGAGAAACTTGGCCAAGAACCTGCCCTGCATGTATCCTGGGTGAAATGAGCGAAAGCTGCCCTGAAGGTGTCCCTGACGAACGGAAAGCGGGCCTGCTCTTCATAGCAACAACGGCTTTAGGCTCTTTTTCCGACCTCCTGAGGATCCGGCTGCGGCCGCCGACTACGCGCGTGCGGCAGCAGGCTTGAGCTGAAGGAATTACCGGGCGTTTGTGCTCACGAATTCCAAACCGCAGCTGAATTCTCAGTCCATGTCACTTCGAGACGGTTTCAGATCTCCGGCCATGCTGCTAAGTCAGTCCTGCCGACGAAAAAGCCTTAAGTCGAACTGGTCGTTCATGCAAAAGGGGCCGGCTTTCAACCACGACTTGACAGCTGCATCTTGCTTTGAAGAGGTTGCGGGTCGGAGTTGAGTTTTGTGGCTTGTGGCGTATTTGGAAAGCATGTGCACGTTGAGGTTTTTTATGTCGTAGTAAGGGTGTTGCAGCAATTGTAGTTTGGTCTGCCCCAGTCTCTGCTAGAGTTTCTATATACTCCACTAAGTGTGTTTTCTCTTGATGTGGTTTTACAGCGACTCGTACACTTAAACGGCACGAACTAGTACTAACGGTGTCAGTAAATCGCGAGCGCATTCTGCTGCAATATAGACACGCAATGGAGCTGTAGTTGTGACAGGCAAGCTAGGGACAAGTTATCGACGATGAGGACGGTGTTCTGCCTATTTCTGCCTGCAATACACACCCGGTCTTGCACAGCTGCGAGAGTTGCTGCTGGTGGTGGTGGCCAGCTGGTCGTGGTGCGTTCTATGCATACATAGGTACGTACGTACGTACGTACGTACAGTACATTGAGGGAAGAAACCCCACCTCCAGTCGAAATGGATTGTGAAACACCTCGAATGCACACATGATCCTACTGCAGGCCCAAGTTGGCTAAAGTTCAGGGGACAGGACACGAACGTAGCTGGCAAGCATACCACGCTCCTGCTTCTTGCGCTGCGAAACCGTCTAGGTCTAGGTCTTGACAGGAAGGAGGAGATTGCTGTGGACTCTCCTTCCCAAGAGCTCCGACAGAACATCCTGACCATCACAGGGCCATCACACCATATCACACCCATCCGGCCCGGCACCCACCATGGCCATGTCTGCACAGTGCAGCGATGCGCAGCGATGTGGAGCGATGCGCAGCGCGGGCTCGGCCCTGCTCATTACACGCACTGTCCGGAGTGTGCCAGAATCCCGATTGGCTCGAGCTCATAGCCATGCCCAGTGCTGCATTGCTGCAAATCTCGCGTGCAAGTCGAGTCAAGCGGCAGAATCAAGGGCATTCACCCCCTCGATCAGCAAGCCTCGTGGATCCTCTCGTTCCTCAGACCTCCCACGGACGCACAGAAGATGTGCGTGATGAGCTCCGGTGGTATCAAAGCCATGTGCGCCACCATGATGAGAGATTGGTGCATCCTCTGCACCCCAGATTGAAAGCAAAAACCACTCCTTCCACAGACACACATCAGCTTCGCTAGATTTATCTGCATCTGCTGCATGGTTGATCATGGGTGCCCCTGCACACTGGACAAGCCTCAAATCTAATCGAGCGGCTGCCTGCTTCGCAAAGGCACTTTTGCAGACTTGCAACGCATGCTGTATTTGGGAAGGTCCCAGCAAACTTTCGCCCATAGTCCACAGAAGTGCCTCAGACGTTCGGAAGTGACCCTATGTCACCTAGCGTACAAGCTGATATGGCCTCGGTGTCCATTCCAGGATTGGAGACCTTATTACAGGGCGATAGGCTGAGGTCTGGTTACTAGTTTTTGCAAACACTACGCTTGCCACCCCCGCCTGCCCAAGATCTCCCTCTGGGATGTCTATTTCGAGGTGTAGCCCGCCCAACCAATCGAGGAGATCTTCACAAGCTTGGCCATACGATGCGGAGAAACGGGCAGCCTGAATACCGAAGGAAGCAAGCGGCAAAGCCAAGCCCCTTTTTATCAACAGAGCACAGGACATGAGCACAGCCCGTGCAACCAGAGTAGCAGCTTTGGCGGCCTGGTCCTGGGGATCGCTCCACTGCCAAGGCTCCAGCACCAAGCGCTCGAAAGGCGGCCTAGCAGCCAAACGCTAGAGAGGGATGTGCAAAATGTGCAAAGTGCAGCAAGTCCCTTGGGGCCTGCGAAGGGTTTGTCCAAGACGTAGTAAACGATGTTGGACTGGCACCTGCGCATTCCGCACATCGAGTGTCCGAAACTCCAAAACCGACGGACTACGCAATCCCGCTTGCCTTCTGGCAATGGATGCGGGACGATGCAGACTGCAAGGGTGCGAAGTCGTAGGGAGGCTCCATCTCTCGGTCGCAGTAAGCCTTGGAAGCAGGCAGGCAAGAGCCGTGCCGGTGCTCTTCTGAGGCCTTGAGGCAAGTCACCTGCAGAGAGATGGTCTCGCCCAAAGGCGCTGTCAAAGACTGCCACCTGCTGGTTGCCGGTTCCTTCGTTTTGGCTGCCCTCCTTGCCCTCGTTTTGGAAATAGGCAAGTCCACGACGACGTGGCGCTTGCCTGACAAGAGCTTCGCCTGGAGCTTCGCGGCACCTCCCAAGAGCGGCATCTGTAGGTGGTAACCGATGACTTAAAGTATACGAATTCCACTGACACACTGATGAAACGCACCTGGCAGCGGCTCCTCGAGGCCGAGGCGCTGGAAGCCCGGCGTCGCCAGCTGCGCGCAGAGGCGCGGCGGGGCGGAGGCTCCCAGCAGCGCCAAAGCGCTCTGACCTCGAAAAAAAAACGGCCCTTTACATGGACTCCCGTTTCCGTTTCTAGGAAACACGGAGCCGGAGCCGGTGCCTCGTGGACCCACACTCAGGCCACAGATCTTTCTCTCGGAAGCTACGTCGACGAACCATGGGTGCCCCAGTGATTCCAGAGGAACATCTTCCAGAAGATAGGCCGCACGCTGCAGCTGCAGAGCCGACACGAGCTCATCCTCAGTTCAACAACCCTCGAAGAGCACAGCCGGGTACCAGCACAATGCTAGTCGTACTCCAAGGCATAACATGAGCTTAAAGGTGAAAGGTGCCCCTGCAATACTTGCAAATGCGTGGCCACTGCTTGCTTGGGTAAGCCGTCCACGGGCAGAAGAACTGAAAGCTTGCAGGTGAGCCACGCCTCACGACGATCAGGTGAGTCCGACCTGTATCCCTTTCCATCAACACTCCCTGTCCTGTCGGTTCCACCCAATCTGTGTGACATGTGCTTGGGCAAGGCTGAGAGGCTTAGAGCAAGCTAGCTACCGCTCAATGCTGCAACAGCGTAGACTGTCTCGAGCTGTGCCTTGCTCGCAAGTCCTTCGAATCGCGCTGTGACCGCAGCATGGCTGCCGCGAGTTACCGCGACATGGCCCAGCGAAGTCGGAGCTAGCTGGGATGCCGGCATCCACCTATCTGAAACCAGTAGCCATAACCGCCTTAAGCCTAAATCGAAACTCTCTAAACCGTAGACCCTTAATCAGCACTACGAAAAGGAGTTGAAGTAATGTGAAGTCGGACACAACGCCCTTACGTTGAAAACCCCTAATCCGAGAATCTTTATCTGAATCATGCTTCTTCGTCTCCTTCCATCCTAAACCCTAAACCCTAAACCCCTGAACCCCGAAGCCCTAAACCCTACACCCAGAATCTTCATCGGAATCTGCCTTTCGGACCAAGTACGTAAGTCATCAGTAATGACGGCAGACATACCTGCGGAATGACGAAAGATGCACAATGGCTTCGGAGAACTGAGGTGTCGGTCTGGAAGGGCCAGGGGCAACCATGACCCAACGCTCCAACGCTACATACTGAACCATCGGTTTGCTGCGATTGCAAAGGCAAAGCCGATATGCAAAACCCTACCCGTGCCCAGGGCCTGTCAAGCAACTTGACTGCAGAAGCCAAAAAGCGGGTGCACAAAGGGAGATGACATGGCAAGGGCGAGGCCGATGGCAAGAGCAAGGGCAGGGAGGCCAAGAGACGCTCGAAGGTGGCAGAGCAAACTTACCACACTCTCGTCGGGTCGGATGCTCAGAGCCACGACAATAGCAAGCCACAGGGCCCGCTAGCATGCCAGCTTTGCGATTTTTGCCGTAATGGCAACGGCTGCGAGCCGGGTGCTTAGCTAAGGCTTCTTGGCGCTGCACGCCGAAGCTTCCAATGGATTACCAGTGTCATCACCCATCACTTTGGTGACGATGCAAAGCACTAGCACTATCAACACCACAGGCACTGCGAAGCTTGGGACAACACGACCTGCGGGTTTGTCCTGTCACAACATAAAACTCTTCCTGCAGTCCTTGGTGGGCCTTTAGCTACCGCAAACGCGACCTTTGCGCGATCTTCGACAAGGTCAGCAAGGCCAGAACTCGAAATGATTGCACCTTTGCCTCCGAAACTGTGCAAGGCATCTGGGGGTCGGTTTGGCTAAGCCGCTGAGGAAAGGTGTAAGCAAGCTCCTTCGGCTCCCCGGGGCGAAAAAATCCAAGAATCAAGCACATGGGCTTTGCGCTTGCCACATGCTGCTTGCCCTTTGCACATGCGGCTTTGAATGGAACCAAATCCCGAATCTTGCCTTCTGTGCTTCTGAGAGCTCTTCTGCAATCAGGAACAGTAGCCACGGTCTGACTTCCCGATTACCTGACTGCTCGTTCCATCCAAAGCCGGCATCCGGAATCGTCTCATGTGCAGGACTCGGGCGTACCTCAACCGGCATGTCCGTAGCTCACCATGAAAAAGGCAGCTCCAAGATATGCCGTGTGGTGGTGAAGATCTTAGGCTGGCGCTTATGGGGCCCACGCCTTGCTGGGAATCAGGCTGGGCGAGCCTCTCCAACAGCCGGGGATGGACACGTGGACCCACACGAGGACCCGAGCCTCCACTGGGCTCGGGCAGTTCAGGAAGCGAGGTCACCGAATCACCTTGGCCAGACTAAACTCCCACGGCACGAGCCGGTTCCGAGACAGTCTGAGACTGGAGCGATGGGGGAGCGAGGTCAGTGTCCTGCAGCGCAGGCGACATACTGCTGACGATATGCCAGTCTTGGAGGCAACAGAAGAACCGTGAGACGTGTCTCTCCGATTTTGGGGCAGACTCTGCAAAGAGCTTCGCAGCTTCTCACGGTCTGGGTTCCAGGCCAGTCCCTTTCAAGATCCGGGTCGCCCCTGCCCCCACGGGAACTGGAACTCGCATGCTTTTGGCTGTCAGCACATGTCGTCCCAGGCACACAGGTTCACCGTGGTGACATGTTGTGACCGACGAGCCGGACCTTACTGTGCAACACGCTATCTTGTCCCAACGATTCGCAAATTGCAGCGCACCTCTCCTCAGCAAACTTGGCAAGAGTGTACACCAAAACATCCGGTGATGGCAGAAGGGCACCTGGAGCCAACGACAACATCAACTGCTGGTTGATTGTTGACGATAAACGTGTCCATCTCAGAGCGCTAGGGTTATCACAATGCGCCCCGGATAGGTCACACCATTTGCGGACCTCTATGCACCAGGCGGGACTGCAAAGCTCCTCTTGAAGGCCCATGAGGCCTGGTCAGCCACCTTTGGGCTCTTGGAGTACGACTCCGGGGACGCCTTTCTCATGACAAATCGAGAGCGCAAGCCGCAGACTTTCTCACAACTCGCTTTCGGCAGCTGCCGCCCCGGCCACGAACAACACAGCCAATTTTCCAGCGGAAACACGCGCCTCACAAAGGTGACGCGTCAACGCGAAGTTACATTGCCTTGCCATACTTGCCTCCCGCTCCTCCTCCTCTTCTTCACGCGCCTGCATGAAGGCGCACTAAAGCATCTGTCACGAAGTGTCGAATAGAGGCTGAATACGGGCCTTCCGTTCCGCTTCTTCCTTGGCAGCTTCATCCATCCTTGGGGATGTAGGCGGAATATTGCATCTCCCGGCACGCAGGAGGGTCAAACCGAACAGTGCTGTAAGTCGCCCACTCTCCATCATCTGGCTCCTCCTCCTGCAGACCCAACATGATGCTGGACTATCACAGAAACAGCCACTCCATGTGCTTCTAGCGATCCGAACCCAGCCTGCTCGCCGGTCTGCTCCGTCTCCTCCTGCCGCAATCGCTCCTGCCACCTCTCAACCTGATCGAACGCATGTTTCTTGCCTGAACTGCGCAGCCCAGTTCTATGGTTGTGGTCTTCAAGCTACTTGAATGACTCAGTTTCCAGGGCTGCGACCATCTTGTCTCCACACATGAGCCGCAGAGCTGCAAGAACCATGGGCAAATCCTCCAGCAATTCCGATATTTCCGCAAGGACTATAGAATCATAAGACCACTCACAAGGGAGCACCGACGACAACCGCTCTAACGATGACCTAGCGTAAAAACTTCAGACGGCCGTCAGAGGCCACACTTCACTGCAGGCATGTCACATCATGCCGAAATCTCGTGTTTTGGCTCTTCAAGAGACAAAGACCTCAAGAAGATGGTTGAAAGTCGGAATCACACCGGACGCGTCGATGTCTCTTCGGCACGTGTGTCTGCATAGGCACGACTCAGACGCTTGTGTGGACGGTGCAGAGGACCATAACTTGATGAGTGTCACGCTTGTTCAAAGGATGATGGGCGACCCTTTGGACTTCCATCATGTCACATATCACGTTTGGTGCCGGCAGCTTGCCCATCGGATTGCAACTTGACCCACAACGAGGACTCGGCCTCATGAGTACCGTTGAAACTGCAAAAACACTCACAGATGACTGCCTGACGAAGTCAAGCACCCGCTGTCGGAAGCCGCCGCGATGAAATACCGAAAAGTAATTACCCGAATCCTTCGCCCAGATTTGCTTGCAAAATCCTCAGGTACTGGCACTGCCGGTGTCGCCGCAGACGATGTTTGGACCTCGACCAGCTCTTCGGTAAAGCTGCCGCGCTAATTGCATAAATAGTCCGAAGCTTAGCTTTGCACCCTCCACCATGTGAAGACCCAGCTTCTGGTCCTCGGCTCACAATCGCTGGGGATACTTGTCGAAACGGTTCCATGCCGTCTCGAGCAAGAAAATGGGCCTTTTATTTACGGGCTGCCGTCGGATGCGAGCTGGTGAGACCCTACTCCGCCGACTCCAGTTTCCCATCTCCGCTTCCAGCACGAGCAACTCGGACCCGCTCGCCTGGCCGCTTGAGTGCTGCCGCAGCGCTCATCACAAGATAACCGCCACAAAACAACATCTCAGTTGCGGTAGAGCGGGACGACCGGGTGCGTGCTGCATGTTTTGTGGATTTGCCTCACCTGACCTTTAGGATGGCCGACATGGCGAACTGCCCATCCCAAACAAGAGCCTTCTGAATTCCTCTCCAAAGTTACAGCACCTCAACGCAAAGCTCGCCTAGGCCTAGCCGAAGACAATGTCGAGAAGCGACCATCGCCTCGAAAGCACCTGGCTTGGAACACTTAGTTCACTCGCGCAGTTGCCAACAACCCATCCTGTGCAACCGCAACTGAGGTCTGCGTACAGCAACTGCAGGCGTATTTTGCAAACACTTTGGCTCCAGTTTCGTGCGGACTTGCGGATGACATGACAAGAACGGTCCTTGACACGGCTAGATTTGCCGAACGAGGTACCGCACTGTCGCCCTTGAAGCGACCTACTGAAGCTCCAAAGAGGAGTTTCGGCACCCGGTAGTGCCGAAAAACCGAAAACTGTCGCACATACTTTGTCTCCTCATGCTGTTGGGCCAATCCCTCGTCTCCACGCGCGTGAACAATCTCAGCCGGTTCTGCTGTTAACTTCTCAGTATGTATTCAGTTCATGCCGATTCCAACGTCCTACGTGACATGAAACGAAATCTGGCGCGTGCCAGACGAAGCCACAACCACTAGGACAGTCTCTGCCTCCTCAAAAGTTCCCGCACAGCGATCTGCAGAGAGGGAGAGAGACAAACATAGACAAACTACCCTTGGACCTGTCGCCGTCAAGTGTCAATTCATGTAATCTCGAAGTGAAACAAAACTTACCACATGCTGCTAATTGGGGTCGGCACACGGAAAGCAAGCATAGGCCAAAAATTCTCGATGCCACTGATAGGTTACTACGTTGCTAACTCGATTCAGTACGTCCTCGCTCTAGCGGCACGATGTCCATCAACTCGGCGCGGGGCTCGCTTGCAAATCGGGGCCGGCACTTCGGCTCTGCATCTTCTTCGCTGTCTAAATGCTTGCCTAGTGCAGGTGGCACCAACGGTTTTACCATCTTCGGCGTCTTGCGAGGCTTTGCCGGGACAGATTCTGCCGCAGGGGAAGAGACGCCATCATCGCCTGCAGCTACACATGATCTCAAGACAGCGCAGAGATCGGGAACACTGACACAAAGTTCCAAAGAAAACATAAGGTGCGGGGCATCAAGCAGCCAAGGCTCTGTTGAGCAAGAGCTCGTGCATAGCCGCAGCGCTGGTATTGCTGATGCAACTGGCTTGGCTTAAAGTTCGCCCAAAACAGCTTCCTATCTTCTTGGAATTCGGAGACGTCATTGGGGAGGGCAGCGGAGAAGGATCCCCGTCAACTGCAAAAGATGTCCAGGATCCATTGCTGTCTAGTCTCTCGCCACCGACACAAAGAGTAGGAGATGATTGCACCAAGGGCTTGACCATTCGTTTGGTACTCGACTTCCCCAACTTTCCCGCCTCAAACCCGTGCTCTGCGAATATGCACGTCGCCCAGTCTCTGCCGGCTGCGATAGAAGCAAAACAATGGTCATCACCTGAGCTTCCGAGGCGGCTCGTCAGTGAACAAGCCACTAACAGGCGACAACCTGTGTGCAGGGGGAACCCCTTGATGCTGTATGTTCGCGGCATCAGGGGCGGCACGCGCCTGTAAGCAGAAGCTTATCGAGCTATCGGGGAACGGCACATTGATGGTGGCCAAGGTGCTACCAGCCAGCAGCTCCTGCATGACAGCACCACTGGCGGTGCTATGGCAGCTAGCTTCACTCGCAGACCTTGATAATCGCAAGGAGCCATGGCTGGCTAACGACTTCCAGGACTGCCATGAGGCGGTGTCATCAAAATCTGGCGACCCTTCATTGACCTCCCTGTCATCCGAGCCCATCTTTTTGACAAGACGACGAGTCCGCCCGTCTGCTTGCACGAGCGCGAAGATGCAGGTCTCCTGCAGCTCCCGGTTCTGAGCTTTCTCCCGCGTCTCTGTGCCTGCGCCGCATGCGCCGCGCAGCCACCAGTTGACGGAGCCTCTGGCATCTGTGGCTTTGGCATCTTGCAGAGCCTGAGCCAATTTGCGCGGAGCTAGCTGTGGGTCTGCTCCGGCTTTGTCGTACGCGTCGCCAGAGGTATCAATCTTTGGTGCAGGGCGTGTCTGACTTCGCCCTCCAGCCGGGTCGGCTTCCATTCCAGTGCCTTGGAAGATTGAGCTAAAGCTCGGCATGACGACGTTAGTGCCTTAAAGGATTCGTCACCAACAAAGGGTAGCAGAGGTTCGGTAGACATGATTAGAAAGGGCTACACTTTGGGCCTTAGCCTGCAGTCGTGCAATGGAATGGTCTGGCGGAATGCTCAGAGGAAAGGAATGGGGGTCCCATTAATCTCAGGCCAAGGCCGCTGCGCGACTGCCTAGGCCCAGGCACCTTCCTCGAGCCAAGACCCTAACCACAAGCAGCTTGGGTTCGGTTCTCTGCCATTCTATGCTGTTCGCAACAGGCGAGACGGAAAAGCCGACAGGCACCTTCCAATGGCAAAGGACGTTGAGCATGATCGAGTGACCTCGGCTGCCGGGCTGCGCAACTCACAAGAAATTAGCGTCAATGGAAACTGAAAGACTGAAGTAGTGCATAGAACCGGATAGCGCATGATAGCGCCATCACTCCAAAAGGCGCAAAGACTGCGGGAGAAAAAACGATGGCAAAACAATGCAACTGCACCGGTGAAGTGAAACTCGATGTTGTCTTCCTTCCGCGTTAACGTTCGCCGATTTGCTAAGTTGCCGATTGCCTTTCTCGTGTGTGCTGTTGGAAAGGTGTCAGAAAGGATTCTGGGGCCTCATGGCGTTTTAAGCAAGGCGACAAAAACCCAATCCAGAGACTGCCGGGCTATTTTTTGCGTTTACCTAGGAAAACTCAAGCCACATGCAAAAAGTAAAAGCACCCGTCAGCCCGTCAGCAGCTTTGTTGCGTTTTTCCTTGCGACACACAGGCGCAAAAACACAGCCGCGAGAAATGATGCCGAACAGACAATCCTGCAGCTCAAGTCTCCTTTTCTTCAGCTCTTGGGACGCAGCGATTTCAAACTGCTCATGGGTTTCTTTGCGTTGTTTTTGATGCTAGAGGGTTTCCTGGGGCAGCTACATTTGGCTTGTTTGTACGTTGGCTTTACGCAGGGTACTCGGCATCGCCTTTTCTGGACAGCTTCTTGTGGAAAGACAGACCCAAAAAATAGCTGGCGCACACGACTTGGCGGAAAACATTGTGTGCACATGGTTGCATCCGTTCACCGCTCCTTGTCTTAAAGCCATGGGCCGGACACACTTGCATTTGCTTCAGAACGAATTTTCGGATCACGCCGACTCGGGCTTTGCCTAATATAATGACCTGGCCTCTACACTCTACACTCTACAGATCACGTCCTCAGCCACGGTTGCCCACAGCAAGCTCGAAGAGCAAAACTGAAACTGCTGCCCCTGCTCTTCCCCCTTCCCCCTGCGCCAGCATCCCCCTCTCGAAGGGACCACTGGGCACCATGACCACCCGAATCAAAGCAACGGTAGCTGAGCACAAAGACCGAGGGAAAGGCCCGAAGAAGCAGCTTTGTGTTCGGGCCGTTCCGGCTTGTTCAGGAGAGTCAGCACGAGCACGTGCAGGAACAGCTAGAAGATGTAAAGTTTGCGTTGCTGCCGAAAGTTTCCCTGGCCCCTGGCTGTGGCTCAGTTCTGGTTCGGGGTCTTGCCCTTCTGAGCGCAGGGCAGTGACAGGAAGGAGATGCATGAGCCCATGGCGAGCTCACGGCAGAGAACCCGAGCTATGGCCGACATGCAGAAGGAAGCTTTGCAGTAATAGCAACCACGGGCTACACCACTTGAGAGCATATGGCTGCAGGCGTCTCCCAGGTGCCACTCAGCTCGAGTCCAGCCGTTGCACTCCATCACCTTTGTCGAAGGACGGTCTGCCACCTCGGCTAGGGACCGGTGTCCTTGAAGGACAATCATTTCACGCAACTGAGGTGCAGCCTTGTTCTAGTCACATCTTCTGCCAAGAGAGATCCACAGCTACGAGTAGCCAAGGCAACAACCCATGACCCGCGGGAAGATCTCCATGTCCGTGCCTGCACGTGCAACAGGAGAAGCTTCTATGCCCTTTCGAGGACTTCCAACCGTCCATCGCAACTGAGACCAGCACCGGTGTCGTGCAAGTCGAGGCCTGCAGGTCTGCAGGTGTCCCGAGGACTTGACAAATGCAGACGCTCAGATGATTTCACATGTTGGTTAGTCGCGCAGGGAGTTTGCCAGCACCTGTTCCGTCCGGATCCAGTTCTTCTTTCACCTGTGTGGAAACACACGACATACACGAAGAACATTAGATCTGCTGAGCTTGCTGAAGACTCTCTTGGACAGTCTTGGGAGCATTGCGCGTCGCACAGCTGCCATGAACCGTCGGCTTTCAGGCTCCGGTACTGTTCCAGCCTTGACAGAAATCCCGTGCAGCAAGAACAGGGGCCTTTATGCCACAAGTGTCGATATCTGTCCCTGGGACCACTGCTGGATCGTTTCTGGCCATGGTGACCTGGCAAGCAGCCACTTTTGGGCATGAGTGCAATTTTTTGGACAAACATACTCCACAGCGTGATGCCTCACCAAACTTCCGCTGAAGGCCGGAGCCAATGCCGAGAAACTTCGTGTTCCCTGGCCTAGTTCCACAAGCGTGTTTGCGCAGCATTTCGATACGTCGAAGGCTCTCACGGCCCTCTGTACAGGGAGCCGGCTGCTGGCACAACGCTAGAATTCGCCGGTGGAGCTCCTGTATCGAGTGGCAGCGATTCTCCGCGCACAGTGGGCCGAGGCTGGGACGCTAGGCTGTAAGAGCATGTCCTCAACCAACTCCCGTTGCCTCGCACCACGCGCTGTCATACAACCCCGGCAGATTGCATGCAATGATCAGAAAGGGGTTTCGTGGGTTGGTCTCCGAGATGACTCTGAGATGCAAGCTCTTTCGGCAACTCTTCGGCTTCGAGAAGCTGCTGAGTAGCATCCTCGCTCATATCACGTCTGAAAAGAAGTCAGTGAAACCCGTCCAGGTGCCGTGCACTGTAGTACTCACGGCCCTTAGAGCCTGTGAATGTCCAGTCTTCTGGCGCATTGCTTGGAGCTGCGGCAAGAGTCTCTGAGGCCCGATCCAGTGTAGACAAAGTAGCCTCTCGGTGCGACACCTAAAGACCGCAGCACTCGTGGAATGAGCATACAAGACGACTGTGCTGACAAATCGTTTGTTTTCATTACTACGGCGCTGCTGCTGTTCAAGCTCTCAATCACTCAGTTCCTGGCAGAGCTCCATCAGGCCTTCAGCACTCGGCCTGCCACCAAGCGGCGCCGCCGTGATAAAGACCTGCGAAGGCATAAGCGTGGCCGCGCCAGATCTTAAACAAGCGCGGCTTCACTTGTGATGCAGTTGCTCGTGATAGATGAGGGCAGTGCGAGTGGCAGGCGTGGCGTCGTACAGATATTGACGGTATTTGACGGTGAAACCGGCTTTGCAGCCGAGGCACGGCATTGTCGACGCAGTGTCGAGCAAAGTGGGAGAGCCAGGCAGCATTGTATGCAGACCTCGCTTGAATGCTCTCAAAAAACTGACTCTCTACTTTCCTCAGCCACACAATTCTCGGCCGCGCAGTGATTCTCTCAAAGAGCACAGGGCACCGACTGCACACTTGAGGCATACCGATCGCAGTAGTTGTTGGTCGTGCCATCCTGCCGCACTGCCGCGTTCATGAGGTGACACTAACGGCCTCTATGCATGGGCGCATCGAACCGCACCGTGGCGAGGTAAGACACATGAAGCTGTTGGTTTGCCTACTTCGCATTGTTGTTGCTGTTGCTACTATCATGGTCATTTCACGAAGAGTTTGTGCTCATGAACATGCGATAGAACAAACAAGGGAAGAGTGGGGCCGAAGGAGGAGAGAAGTGTTGGAGACCCGAGTCCATGAATACTGTGGCTACGTGAGCCACCATGGATTCTATGCAAGCTGGCTTGGAAAGCTTTTCGCCGGAGCGCAGGAAGTGGGGAGCGACATGAAGCGCACAAAAGGCTGTCCCTGTCGGTGATCAGATTTCGGAATGGCTTGCTTCGACCTGCCGGGGTTGAGAGAGGGCTCTAGACTCTGACACTGTGCACCAAGAAGCCTGTGGCAGACGCCCGGTTAAGCACGTCCAATGATCGCCGCACGATGACCTCACTCTTCTAGGACCGAAAGAAGCGGCTTTGTTGCACAGCTCCGGGATGCTCCGGGCCCCGTGTGGTTCTGGAGCTATACCAGTGGACGAATTCCAAATGCCATAATTGAAGCCGACGTGGACATGATGCTCTCTCAAGAGATCTTCAAGCAGCTGACCTCCCAAGGTGGAATCTCATTCTCCACCTCAGTCGGCGCACCCTTCACAAAACTGGCGCGTGCGTTCGCCAGGCTGCACATGGGTGGCCGAGCAAGCTGGACTTATGCTTTCATGCAGCTCGTTTCTGCTGCAAAAGGAAGCCCCACCTTCTGCCGGTCGGATGAAAGAAGTGTGACACAGAATCACGGAATCCTACCTACAAGTACTCCTGTCTACATTATCTACAATGCGCGGAGTGCAATCCCAACTTGCACTCAAAACCCCTCACTGCTTTCACTTTGATCCTTTGATCGTCTTCGACGGGGCCCACGGGTGGACGACAGTCGGCTTGTCTCGTGCTCCTCGGGCTATGTCCAGGAATAACACACAAGAACCCTCGAGCTGCTGGCCTGTACTCGTCCATCGCGCACATGGCACACCTGACGAATTCCCGGCTCAGCTTCTTTCATCACCGCGCAGCCATGCGCCGCCTGCCTCCGCTTGAGCTCCTGCACCCCGCAAGGTTGCGAGCCATAAGCGCTGCCTGCGGGATTACTATGAATGCGACCTGCTTAGCCTGTCAGCTATATATCCCGGTCTCGGTTCGCCGACCCTCCCGCCCGGCACAGCTAACCCCAATCCCAAAACCCAAAACTCAAAAGCTTAAGCTAAACCCTAAACCCCAAAACGCCACAACCACCCCACAGGGGGAAGAGTGACCCCACACCACACTCCACAGGGAGGGAGGGGATCCTGGACCAGGGCGGGGAGGGGCGGGGGCGTGACCATGCATAAATGCATTTCCGCCTCCTGGCGAGGTTGTCACGCTCGCTCTTCACCTCCACGAAGCGGGCACGAGGTGCGCTGCCCAGGTGCCAGGACCAAAGCCTCATGACGAATAAATCCGTGGCAGTTGCTCGGTGCTCCTAACACCGCAGCAAACTCGGCTTCGCACAGCAAGTCAGGCAGCCCGGCCGAGTTATAATCCTCGCCTTTAGCCGGGTGCTGTATAATCACGATCGCAATGTTTCCACATGTTTCTTCCATGGGCACCACAAAAAAAGCGTCCCTGCATGGTCTGGGCACCCACGCAAAGCAGCCGCAGCGCCGCAGCAAGGGCCTTCCCTCCGATTGCGCCAGCAGCGCTCGGCAGATCTCTGTCCTCCGAGGCCACCTGCGCTCACTCACGGAGAGCGAGGGTGCAGAAGCACATAGATGTACACTTTTACGAAAAGCTTATAGAACACATGGATCAGCCTCTCCACTGGGAAGAGACGTGCAAAGGACCCGTCGGACTTTGCCGCTCTGACTCTGCACTTTGCCCGCATCCTGAGAATGACCATATACTGGCCACACAATTGAAACCAAAGAAAGACATCGTTGCTAAGCGCTGCCACAAGGCATCCCCGGTTTCGTCTGTGTCGCTCTTTCCAGGTGTCGCGTCCAGGCCGGCTGTGCCCTGAATCTGCCTTATTTGCCAGGATCACCGAATGCAGCTGGAGTCATGTCCCGCCCTACAATCACGATGCTCGTGATATCTGGTGGGCACCGCACCTTGTGCACACTGTGCACAACTGCTCGCATGCCAACAAGGCGCAGGAAAACACCGCTCTGCCCCTCGTACCGATCCCATCGAACCCCACGCACTCGACAGCCGTACAGTTTTGCGAATCTTGCGCGCACGTCGTCTGCGACTTCACCTCGGTGCTGAGGCTCGGTATGCAATCGGACAAATCTAGTTCGTCGATCTCTGGCAGTATTAAGCCATCTGAGTCGTGCGACAGCCGGCTGCAGCCATGATTCTGTGAGTCATCGATGCAAGCTTGGCCAACCCTGGAGACAAAGTATCTTCGCGGTAGCAGCAGCTGCAACTGGAGGAGCTTCAACATCGATTCACCCTTTGATAGATGCAGATTGCTTGGGGCCCGGGCGCCGCTCAATGCTCGAAACTCTGGAAGGATAAAATGCCTCTGCACATAACTTCCCTGCACTCCTGCGCCGGTCCACCCCATCTGAAGCTGCATCAGAGCAACTTCGGTTCCCAAGTCCAGTGGTGCATCCTGCACACTCGGTGCAGCCGTTAGCTACCGCCTGTGCAACTCCACATTGACTACAGAAATGAGGCACCACAAGTAGCACAGCTCAAGCCATGCAATACCATGCCCTGTGCACTTGCGGACTTTTCTCCACAGCTGTCTTATCCGAAGCCTCTCCAAGTGGTGGAGCAGGCGCCTGGCTTCTGCCAGCTCGCCGCCACCTCATAGCACTTGTCCTCGTAGCGTGCTTTTGCCTCCTGCTCGGACATCTCCCGAAGAACCGTGTGGGTGTCCGTTCGGTGCTTGACCTTCTCTGAACCCGCATGTTTTGTGGCCTGCCTCGAGCTGAGTTTAAAGCCCCTCTTTCCAAGTTCCGGCCTTCTTGAATGCGTCCAGGATGGCCTTCCTTGCTGGCCGCAGAATCTGGCCCGTCGTGCGGTTCAGCGCTTGAGCGGCCAGGTCAAAGAGCTCCTTTTCCTTTCTGCAGATCGCAAAGACTACTGATGACAACTTGGCTCAGATGTCATTGCGAAATATTGTGACCACCTCAGCCTTATGATGATTTATGATGAACTTCCCAGGGCTAATGAATGGACCAAGAGGCGTAACCATTGACATCCGCGAGGCCACTCAACACCCCGGCAATATCTTCCGGACGAAGTGATGTGTGCCCACGCAGGTGAACCTGTCTGGCAAAGACTCAGAGCAGCTCTGACAACAGCCGCCGTCATGCCTACTGAAGGCGCAGGCTGACACGCGTCATGCACAAACCAGTGGCACTTTGGCAGTTCGGATACCACAGACCGCAGGACAGCGCGGGCCTTTACGGCGGCCATAATGTCAGCGAAGCTCCCAGCATCGTAGTATTTTACTCGTGCAGCTGCTTGACAAACCTCCGACAGCTCCGGCATGGGTAAACGCAGAATCTTGCCACGCTGCCTCTGCCAAGACCTGCGAGTGGCTGCAGATCTTCTCAACTCAACAGTCATACGCAATACACCTACTGTGCTCGTTTAGCGTTGTTGAAACCCATAAACAGTTCCCGCGCGCACATTCAAATCGTGGAAGCGAAATACCGACAAGTAAATATTTTCGGCCGCCAGACCCGAATAAAAGAGTAGAAATGTAAAAATGTATAAACAACCAAGCCACCTTGAACTCCCTGTGGCGCGGAAAATTGCTAAAACGGTTCAGATGTAAAAACTGTATGAAATGACGTACTACCGCAGCTCGCCGTAAAATGGAAAAACGAAAACATGTAAAAATGCCAAGACAATCTACCGCTTGAAAAATTTAAAACCGTACAGCTTGCGAACAAATACAAGTGTAAAAGCCCTCCACCGAGCGAAAAACGTAAAAATGTACAAACAAGCCACCTAAAACTGTAAACGCAGCCCGAAGCAAGTGAAAGTGTAAAAACAGGCCAGCGAAGACAAAAGACGCTTCCAAGCTGATCCCATAGATCTCCGGCGCACTTTCCTTTTTCCACCTGCTTTCACATTGATGGCCTGGTCTGCGATATCGACGTCCTTCGACGTCTCGAATCGTCGACGTATCTCGCATGTCACAATCGACAAATGTTTCTCGAGATCAATAGGACCGACTTTTTCCTATTTGTGGTGGTCGCATCCTCCCATCGCAGGCGAACACCGCAGGACCTTAACGGTCCCAGGCCGAAAGCTTGCTGCAAGGCCCTGTGCACAGGCACCATTTCGGGGATATCGGAAAAGCCCTTACTAGTGGCACAAATAATACCTCTATCATCTTCGCAGCTCTGTTCGTGATCACCTGCAGGGGAAGGCGAATACTCCTGCCAATGGCAGGCTTGATCGGGGGTTCTCTAAGCGTCTAAGTGCACCCTTTTCATTCAAGGTTTCCGGCGGGCGCTATGCACCTTATTGCCGTACGTATCCCGTCATACAGGCTAAGATGCCGTCCTGATCCCGCTCCATGAGATAGAGACAAATGTCCGGAGTGCTCCTTGTCGATGCGTTGGCCTAGGGGCGGCAACTGGGCGTTGCAGAAGCCTTCGGCGTTGACCAGCAACACGCCGGCGGTCGGGGTCTGCAACGAACTGGCGTTGTTTCGGAGTGTATGCGGTCTGTCACTCCTCAAGCATCTCGGACACGTGCAGCGCCCATGCTGGGAATCGATGCGGTATTCGAAGTTGATCCTCCGCAGCGAATGATGGTTGTGAGTGACCGATGTGCACTCCTTCGATCTGCAAATGAAGTGCCGATCGAGGGACTGGGCGGCTTTGAACAAGCAGTCGGCGAGCGGCGCCTCGTTGCAAGCCATTCGCCATCGCCATCCCAACGGAGATCTGATCGATGGCTTTGGAGCCTTCTCCCAATCGGTGCACGCTTAAAGGACTCGCTGGCAGTTGTCGTTGTCCAACTGGTCGATGTCGGTCATGAACCTTAGTGAGCTGCAGAAGCCGGGGTCGCACCGTTCCGTGGACCGAGCTCTTCGAGGCATCCGGATGGCAAGCGCCTTTTGCCAGATCGGGCACCAACCGAAGATACCAATTTGACTTGACGCGGATCCCCACTGCAAAGCGTGCCCAATCCCAAAACAACTCGAAGAAGACCTTGGGGGACATGGGGTGCTTCGGGTCGACTGCCCCTGCCAACCGACAGGCTGCTCCTCATGGCCGTCATCGCGGTCTTCATAAACAAGGACTGCGGTCGAGGTTGGCTTGTCACCGATTGCCCAGGCACCCTTGTCGCACACTGGTAGCAAGACCCGTAGCGCGCGCTCTTCCAATCTTCGACGTTTTCGAGGTTGATCGCCAGCAAGTAGTACGGCGGGGAAAGCATCCCGCATGACTTCTCGTGGATTGTCAAGGTTTTGTCGTGAGTGACCAACTTGAGGTAGATGGCCCTCGCATGCTGTTTATTAACATATTCTGCTGCTACATGTAACTGTCGTCGCCAAACAGCTCGGAGTTCCTCGTCTGACGAGGTGGGGTAATCGCTTAGGGGGAAGCGCTCTCGCCGGGAGGCGGAACCATCGCGTTGGACGAGGAAAACCCCCGCGGCCCCAACATCTCCGGCCACATCACAAGCGCCTGCGCAAAAAGTGGTTCGGGGACTCGACGACCCAGAAGGGTGAAAACTTGGCATGCTGGGCGAACACAGTGCGCATGTTGGACGCGGGCATCGACGAGACGCAATCCAAGATCGGAGCGGCTTGTTCTCGTCGGAAGTCGGTAGTAGGCACAAAGCTCCGATTAAACGGTCATCATGGTTGGAACTCTTCATCTTTGATGACTATCCCATCTTAACCCGGCTCTTTAAAGTTGAAGTGAAGCCTCTACTTAACCTCCGGCTGTCCCTAGTAAAGCTAGGTAGCCCCAGGTAAAAATCTACCCATGTGCGAGTGGTGCTGACAGACTTGCGTGTGCAAGCTTGAATGAAGTCTTGAGTGCCTCCGCGTGTAGTGATGCTTGAAGTCCCTGCGTCCGCGTGAGGTCCCAGCACGACGGTGTTGCCATGTCCTGCTTGCGTGCGTTGCCGTGATTCCGAAGGTTGCATAATATGCCTACGATGCAGGTCATTGCATGTGCACGGCCGTAGCGGCGTAGCGACGTAGGTGAGCTGTAAAAACTTAAAATCTTGCACCCGCCAGTGACAAAGACTGCCTGGAGTGACGTAGGATGCTGTATAATGTTGGGGGGTGTGCTTCACGTGCTTGAAGCCGCCTGCGGCCACTCTGTCGTGTTTGGATCCGGGGCCCTCACCCCCCGCAGGGGGCTGCACCTTCGCGTGCACTTTTCCTTCGCTTGACCCCGTTGAAGCTGAGAAAATGAAGGTTTGCGCGTGCAAGTGAGCTGCTAGTGCATGTCTGTGAGATTTGCTTCACATGTCGTGCTGAGTTGCATTTTGTGTTGCAGGGTTGCGTCAAGCCCAACTAAACCACAAGGAAGCCGAGCTTCCCGTGAGACCCAAAAGATGGCCCACGGATGCTCCTTTCTCAGACCATGAATGCTCTCCTCGGCACGAAGAATTAAGCATGGACATCATGGTTGGGCCATGGGTGCTCTCTTCTCAAAGTGGATACGACCATGGACGCCATGGACGTCATCGTGGTTGGGCCATGGATGCTCTGTTCTCAGAACGGATCAGACCATGCACGTTATCATGGTTGCGCTATGGATGTTCTCTTTGAGAACGGATTAGACCATGGATGTCATCATGGTGATGCTCTCCAAATTGTCCAAACGGATTAGACCCTGCATTGGTTGGCTATGGATGCTCGACGTCATCATGGTGGGGCCATGGATACTCCTTCTTCAGAACGGATGAGACCATGGACACCATGGACGCTGGGCCATGGATGCTCTCTCAGATCGGGTTAGACCATGGGCGTTATCGTGGTTGGGCCATGGGTGCTCTCTTCTCACAACGGATTAGACCATGGACACAATGGACGTCATCATGGTTGGGCCACGGGTGCTCATTCTCAGAACGGATTAGACCATGGACGCAATGGATGCCATCATGGTTGGGCCATGGATGCTCTCTGCTCGGAACGGATTACAGAGTCGACTCATTCGATCATGAACATCATCATGGTTGGGGCATGGATGCTCTCTCCTCAGAACTAAAAACGCCGAGCAACTCAGGCAATTCCGGCAAGACCCAAAATGCCAAAAAGCAAGGCATCCGAAACAGGAAAAACATCGGCAAAACCGACCGACTACGACCGTTCCAGAATCAAACGCGAGCATGAACGCCCAAAACTCGTGTGTTGAACACGACACAGGCCAAGAAAATGCAAGCAAAATCAACATCAACGCTTGAAAAGAACCCGCAGCAAAAAGACCTGCAGCAAAAGCAGAAGGCATCAAAAACTCTAGGAAAACGCGCATTGCAGAGCAAAACAAGAGAAGACTGCAAAGCGAAAAAGGAGGGGCCTTGAACAGCTGGTAGTTTAAGCCCGTGAAGGCTCAAACCCATAACCGTTGAAGCCCTTTTTCAAAAAGCCCTGAATTAAGCCCCGGATCCTTCAATCCTGAAGCCTCAAGCCCGGCCCGGGCCGGTCATTCTTAGTCACCAAACCCGCAAGGAACCCGCTCAGCAGAACAACGCCGGCAATCCAGCTTAGCGTGCAGGCGGGCGGCTCCATCAGGCGCATCATTTGACCCAGGGTCTGCACTTCGGCTGCAGTCGTGGGGGCTGGCGACTTGCGTTCTGCTTCGTGATCGCTATCTTCCTTCCTGGAACGCTGCATGAGGCGAACATCATATCTGACGGACTACACGGCACATTCACACTGCATCTTCTTATGGGCAGCACGCAATGGTGAGGCTCGAGCCGCTCGTCGGCTTTCGGCGATGGTCTCTGTCTTGGTTTCTCATCTTCTTCTGCGTCACCATTGTCAGATGCTTCATCCTCTGAATCCATCCACGCAAACTCTTTATGTCCTTAGAATCATGGCTGCTTCCGGCACACAAAATACACTTACAACCAAGCCCGTTCCCGAACAAAGAGTTTCACCAAGCCACTTCGCTTCTTCTCTACTTTTGCTTCAGCTGTCGGCCTCTCCTCGCTGCGGCTCTTGCTGCGGCTTCGGCTTCGGCTGTAGCGCTTGCGTCTGAAGCTTCCAAAGGCATCATCCTCTGGCTCCGGAGAAGCACAGCGTAAGGACGCTTTCACCTGCAGGCTAAGGAGAGAGCCTCAACTGCCTTACACTTGTCATCCACGTCGAGATATGATGCCACTGGCATCCACTGGCCTTCCCAGCTCCAACAGGCTTTGCCATTGTCGAGAGGTGGCGTGCGGCAGCATTAGAGCATTCTACTAAATGCATCGTAGGCTGATTTTGACGAGTTCCCCCTCAGCCTGAGACCCTGAAACCACCACGGCAAACTGCACGTACCCCACAATCCTTCCATGCCTCATGCATGCTTCGACATTTCTCACAGCCCAAAATCCTGCAAAAGTGGCACCGGTGCTGCTGGTCAGAGTTATCACTCCCGCATCAACACGTCAACGAGTCTCGCGAAGGTCTTTTTCGCTCTCGCTCGCGCCTCTGCCCTTCGCTGCATCAAGTCTCTGAATCTCTCAGTGGTTAGCTTGCACTCGACTCGGAGGCGCCCCGGGTCACAAGAGGGCAACCACAAAACGGAACGGTCCTAACTGCCAGCAGGTGCGGAGCGAACGGAAACGACAAACTTCTCTGCCAAAAAACAGACCTACGCATCTAATCGAGACTTGGTTGGTTGGTATTTGCAGGCAAAGGTAGCTCACTTTCAAACTTGTCCGGCCAAGCAAGGCTTCTCAAGATTTCTTGTACACAATTTCATCGGGATAATGGTTCTCTGTAAGGAAGGAGCCACTCCCACCACGGATGAACTTGTCTAGGAAGGCTAGGCCGTAGCCGTTGATGATCTCGTGCTGCTTTGAAATGTCAAGGGGCATATACATCGAGCCAGGGCTGGACAGACTCTTGCTCTCGCCGATCCCATTGCCGTATGCCGGGTTGTACAGGTCGCCTGGCAGGTGCGTCTTGCTGCAGCCGTGCATAGCCGCCCTAGCAGTAGTTCGAGATGCCTTAAGCAGCGTCTAGCAAAGAGATCCTGCCGAAAAGCCGAGCTGCAGCTGGTGAAGCTACAATGACCTCCGCGCTTGATCTCCATCAGAAAACTGCAACCCTCGGGCTTCTTGACAAAGTCTCGGCAGAGCGCCTGTTCTACTGTCGAACAAGTCGCTTCGAAGCTTCTGCATACAACTTAACCCGCCTTACGGGGCCGTACGCTCTGTGGTCCGCATCAACCCAACATTCGCTTAGGTCTGTTGTGCCCAGCTGCCTAGCACAGGCCCTTGGCGCTGCAAGAAATGGTCCATGCGGTAAGAAGGGTGCCTACCGATCGCTGGTGAACCTACAGCGAAAAGAATCTCTTGCCGAGGAGCGTTACCCTCGGTTCCAATCACTGTGTCCTCGGTGCCGATCATGACCATCAGTGGAGTATGCAAGTTTGTACGTTCTTTGGTGAGGCGTCCCTCTGCCGACATCAGCGACGGGCACATGAGAAGAGCAGCTTTCACGCGAGGATCATTGAACTCCAAAGCGGCAGCTGCTGTCCAACCACCGAAAGACATGCCCGTCAAGGCACAACGATTCACATCCACTCGACCCGCAAAGCGGCTGTCCTGGCCATCTGTAAGCTTTGCCAATGAATCTAGCAAGAAGAGCACGTCCAAGGGCCGATCTGCTTCCATCTGAGACCTCTCACTCCGTGGGCCACCCGGCTTGATGACGCGTCCATTCACTTGAGTGTATCGCGCACTGCCCGGATGGTCGCAGGCTGCGACTATGAATCCCTGTGAGGCTAGGAACTCGGTCCAGAAAATGTAGCTAGCCCTATAAGCACCTGAACCATGTGAAAATATCACGAGAGGCCATCCGTCTTTCAATGGTTTGCCGCCGATTTCCTGCGCTGGGTCACGCAGCCGCGCATCCCGAACAGCTAGATTCGGCCAACTCTCATCCAGATCTGCGATCGTCAATCCAGACCGGTACCCCCCGATGGCATCCGAGGCCTCTGCTGCCTCGATGCTACCTGGTATTGTCCCACGACCGAGAAATTCGGAGAATCGGTTTCGCGGCAACTCCCGGGCTTCCTCACCAGCTGGATACCAGATCTCGGTCTGCAAGCTGCGAGGGCCTCCCTCCGGATCCTGCCGACTGTGGTCATCTAGCTGTAAGCTTGTCACCCCAACTGGATAGGGACCCGGCGGCAGCCCTGTGAAGGACATGCTTCTAGAAGTCGCTGCAAATGTGGCAAGTTTGTCAACGCGTGAGGGTGCAAATCTCCAGCACACAGCTGTACAGATGGTGGCCTTAAGAGCCTTTCTCCAGCGCAGCATTGAAAAGCCGCGCACCTGCTACGAAAAACGCTTGAGCCAGAAATCGCGAGGCGCAGCGAGTGAGCTCTTGAAAACTCCGGTCGTCTGTGCAGAGCTGGCCAGTCAGTCCTGAAAGGAGGACACGAAGGCATCCGCCACAGAGCCTTCTGCATGCAGGAACTTTTGTGTTTGCCGCAAGGTTGCTGCACATCGTTTCCTGCGTCGCTCTGGTGCTATAGCATGCGGGGCATTGCAGTCACGAAGCAATCAAACAGCTCGTCGAACATCAGGATGCCAAACCTCAGCAACATCTTCACTACACAGCTTACCGCCTTCCACTGACTTGCTGAGGTACAGGCAAGTCTCTCAGTATGGACCCCTCGCAGTGGATTCCACACTGAAATGCACCTCCTTCGGAGGAGAAGTAGTGCTGCATCGCGAGCTGCTCGACCGTAAGCTCTTCCAAATGAAATCCTTACTTTTCAGAAACACCACACTGCAGCGGAGGCCTTACCACGTCAAGTGAATGAGTCCCTTTGACATGCGCCAGCCCACCATCAAACATCCGCCGCTGGCCGGCGCCCTTCCCACTTGCAGGAGGCGCGACTTGGGGCAGCCCAAGTCTTGCAGCACAGAGGATCTGCACGTGTCCTCCGACAAGCGCGAGAACACACCAGCATCTCCAAATGAGATCTTGCATGTCTTGCCGGCGTATCCTGTTGCAGCATCTTCTTCCGCAATCAGCCGCGAGACGAGCTTCGGCAACCACTTGCCACAATCATCTCCACCTTCCTCGGAGGTGGCAGAGCATGGAACCAACAAAGACGTCAACTTTGGGAAACGCCCGAAGCTGAAAAAACGTGTTCATTCAGCATTAACGCGGGGAACTGGCCAGAGCGTTTCTGAATGCGAGTCTACAGACTTTAGCCGCGCTGTCCGGCGTCTATAGCTTCAAACGGTCTTCAAAAACAAGCAAAAAAATATGCGAGCGTGCGTGCATGCGTCCGAGCTTGCGTGCGCGCGTGTGAGGGGCACTTGCGCGTGCCGATTCGTCGTACATACATGGGATCAGGACAAATGGATTACGGGCTTCCGTGCACCTTGCCCGCGTAGCTTCCGCACTACCCCCAAGCCGCAACCTGGTATGTTGACCCAGGCGACCTCGCGGGTTTGGCCCTCAGGTGCCTAGAAACAAGGGAGCCCGGGTCACTGAGCCAACCCCGAACACGGTCACTTGGCCAATCGGAGAGCGCATCGTTTTTCAGGTCACTTAGCAAACCCCGAGCGGTCACTTAGCCAACTCTCGATTTTTTGGCTTGGGGTTACCTTTTCGGATTTGGGGTGTCCCTTGCGGTTTCGGGCTTAGGGTTTAGGGATTAGGGTTTAGGGTTTCCTTTTAGGGTTTAGGGTTTAGGGTTTATGGTTTCCTTTTAGGGTTTAGGGTTCAGGGTTTAGGGTTTAGGGTTTCCTTTTCAGGGTTTAAGGTTTAGGGTTTAGGGTTTAGGGTTTCCTTTTAGGGTTTCGACTCACACACTCGCACAAGGCAGGCATGGCAATGAGAAAAAGGGTTTAGGGTTTAGGGTTCCTTTCAGGGTTTAAAGTTTAGGGTTTACGGTTTAGGGTTTCCTTTTAGGGTTTCGACTCTCACACTCGCACAAGGCCGGCAAGGCTCCGCATAGTTCAGTCAGGGTTTAGGGTTTCCTTTTAGGGTTTAGGGTTTAGGTTTTCCTTTTAGGGTTTAGGGTTTGGGGTTTAGGGTTTCCTTTTAGGGTTTAGGGCTTAGGGCTTAGGGTTTAGGGTTTAGGGCTTAGGGTTTAGGGTTTAGCCTTTTAGGGTTTAGGGTTCAGGGTTTAGGGTTCAAGGTTTAGGGTTTAGGGTTTAGGGTTTATGGTT